GAGAGAGAGAGAGATTTGATATACAAATGTTTTATTTCGATTCAATTGTATACAAATTCAAATTTTATGTAGATATACAAACACATAAAATTGAATTGAGAGGCTGTCAGCGATTTATACAAACGAGAGGCTGCCAACGATTTATACAAATGAGAGGCTGCCATCGATTTATACAAATCTGATGCTCCATAGCAAAATATAATTATTTCAAACTATAGGAAAATTAGTAAATAGAGTAGGAATATTTGTGTAATTAGATAGTTTCTTTTTATTTTTTTTTATTTTTTATTTTCATGATTTAAACGACTACTTAGTAGGGGCAGTAAAGTGGGAGGTTAGTTTCACTTTATATTTAGTAAAATTTCAAACATATACAAACAATATCAACACCCACGAAATTAAAAATATTATTTTCATATTTGACCTTAGAAATTAAAAATATTATAATGGTGGTTATAATAAGCTATCAAACTATAGTGATAACGTAAAAATGTTATACTTTATCAATTTATGATCACATCTGGATTGGCAATGCCCCTACATTAATGAGTGATTCCAAGATATAATATCAAGATAAGGAAATACTTCAAGAGGATCAAGATCAAACTTATAAACTCTAAATCAGTGACTTTAGGTCTTCCAAAATAAGATCTCAAAATTATTCATATTATACATAAAAATATATATCATTATGTATTTTTTATTAGTGTTAATTGAAATTTTCTTAATTGTTGGTTGCCAAATTTCTTTAATAAATGATGTATAACTTACATAAATCCCATAGTCTAAGGAACTAAATTACATTCTATCCCTACTCTTTTTTAATTTACAAAAATTCCTCAAAATCAGTGTTATCTGGATACATAGCAAAGAAGCTGAATACATTAAATCCGATACATTAAAACAAAATCAGTTAAACTTTTAAATGAAAGAGAATATTGAATTGAATATGAGTTCCCCAAATCACGCTAATCTAGTTGATTTCAATCTCTTCCAAATCTTAACAGATTCAATCAAATCAAAATTTAAATTTTCTTCTCTCAATTTTCTTGCAATCAATCGAGCGGCATTAGCCAAGGTTGCCAACAGAACCAACAAAAAGATAGTTGAAGCGAAATCAAAACAAAGAATTGTGATGGGCCATCTTCCAATGATGACGAAATATAGGTGGCTAACTCCGAAAGTTCATAATGAAAACTCAAGAAACAAAAATCAGCAGAGAAGGAAGTTGAGATATTGACCAAATTTGCTCCACTCACGGGGTTCTCCATCTAATTGAACTTTCTGTTGTACATGTCTTCATGTTGGTTCAATATCTATGGCTATATTTGTGTTTTTAAGCCGCAGGAGTTTGATCTACCCTCTTTTGTCATTAGGGATTTTCTTCAGCAAAAAAAGATCTGACATTTAGGAATCTGAAAAAAATATGAGCCTGAATTTGTAATGTATAAAACAGATCAGAGCTTTAATTTCATAGTTAAACAGATCTAACAATCACATGTATAAAATTACATATATTGTGTTGTTAATTTGATTTTTGATTTGTATTTTCGAGATGACTATATTAATCGTAATACATTAGTATTTATGTATCTTGTATAAATTGATAAGTACTATATTCCTATTAATTAGATACATTAAATAAGTAAATTTTGCACGTAAAGTGTTTGCTTAGAGTTTGACACATTACTGTGTGATACATATAGTATTAATTTAAATTATTGTATCATGACCAAATATTTAGCATGATACATTACTATTTTTGTATCTTATTGTGTCTGTGAAATACTATTATACATGTAATTTTTTGTAAAAGTATCAAAATGTTTAAGAATGAGGGTATGTATTAGATTATATTTATATTTTGTACCTGATATTAAGTGTAAGTTAGTTGTTTGATTGCTTGTGATAGATACACAGAAATAACTATTTTATAGAATGTATCACTAATTTTTTTTAATGTTAACAAGTTGTTGCATTATCTGAGTATCTTTATTCAGTCTATAATTCTGGAAGAAGATACATTGTTTGACTCGAAAGATAAATATGCAAATGTGGAAGATTTCAAATTGATAAGATACATTTTTTATATAATGTATCATTTTGTAGTTGATAATAATGTATCTGATACAATAAGGTTGTGACAGAAGGGTGTATGTAAGCTGAAATATAGTGTATCTATAAATGTATCATTTTGTAGTTGATAATAATGTATTTGATACAATAAGATTATCAACTTTTATGTATTTATATATCATGCCCATAAAATTGTTCATGATACATTACTACTTATAACATTAACTTTAGAGTAAACATATCTGATAATGGAAGATATGGAATTACATGTATTGTGTTATCTAGTCAATTTTTTTTAATTTATGATCTCGAGATGGATATATTACTCATGATACATTACTATTTCTAAAATATTAAGTAGATTGATAAGTACTATAATATTTTAAAAAAATTCTTCCATTTATTCCAAAAAATTCTCAATTTTTGAATTAAACTTGTCGACAAATTGTACTAATACAACATGAATGAATCAACAACTAACTACAACTAAGTTATCAAGTATGTACATGAATGAATTAGCAATCAAGTTATCGAGTACATTGATGTTTCAGTAAAGAGACCGGAAGTAATAGATTCGATAATTTTTTAAGATGAAAAAACTAAAAAAAAAGTTAAAAGAAATCGAAAATCGAAGTAATGAAAAGAAATCTACCTCTTGAATAACTTGAAATCATTAATTGGAAAGAGAAAAGATTTGAAATTAAAAAATGAATCAATGGAGGTAACTGTGGAGAGATTTGTGGCGTGAAAAAAGGAAGGAAAATCATGGGTATTAGATTTCAAATTAATGTATTCGGAAAAGGAGATGATAGGAAAAGAAGGGATTTTTGATATTTTTTGAAATGGTAGGGAAAATAAGAAAATATGGTAATAAATGATGTGTAGTTAGGTAATTTATCCTTAAACGATTATGTACATATTCTTAAAGTTTAACAACTTTCTGAATATACGATTAATGTAATTATGATTGAAAACTGTAAACAATTAAATTTATAATTACTTTCTACTTTTTAATTTTGTCGAATTCACTTCAATTTGAATTAATCATGTCACGCCCCGAGCCTACACCCTGGACGTGGCTGGCACTCGGAGACTATCGCTGGCCCCAAGCGGACCATTGGCCTGGCTTACTTAACTCAGCGGAAGACTTAACTCAACAGAATAAACTCAATGCAATAGTTTTAAATGATAACATCTTAGCCAAAATGGCAACTTATGTCTCAAAACAAAGTATCTGCAAATACATAGATGAGAGACTCAATACTAACTGTCTGACTATCTATGAAGCCTTTATAATACTGAGATGGATGTTGGGACAGACCCCACAACATCCTAATAAAGCAAAACTAGGAAAGCGAAATAACAGAGTCCTC